AAAAAAAGTTCCTCAATGACTATCCATTTTAAGGAGCTCACCACATAACATGCATGGCATTTGACTCGTCCTCAGGGAATCTCTACTACGGTACCCGTCCCAGTTGTGAGTTATCCTACATTATTATAAATTCAAATGTACAGCTTATATTTCTCATTTTATTTTGTTGCTTTGGATATGAATGTTGATAAATTCAGTGGAATCTGCTGGAATTACTGTGTTCCGACCAGAGAGTCCAGAAAGGCGGCTACAAATTACGAGAACTGTTGGTGGTGTACATTCACTGAATCTGGATCCAGTTTCTAGGTCCGATCTTCACCTTTGTTGTTGTTGTTGTTTACTCTACTAAATTTTACTTTTTCTTTATTCACGTGTATACCCCCGCGTAACATGTATTCTGTTCGGAAGTACTTCAATATTTGTATTCAGGCCGATACAGAGTGCATCTTGATCTGTTCTCCCATCTATGAAGTGCTTTGCATACCTACTGTATTTCCCCTTTGCGGCCACCATCTTTGGACGATTTGATCATATTTTTCAATCCAATTACATCGAACACCAGGCTTATTTCCATTTGATCCATGGGAATCCCATGAATAGCTTGTTAATATTCCCAGTGCTACAGAAATTGGAAAGGGTTCCCAGGACGCCCCGGGAAAAAATTAAATTCTGCAAAACGATAATTTCTTTGATGATTTTTTTAATATCAAGGTCAAGGGTAGGAAAAACAACAATTTTTTCAGACTAATGTTCTACTCGAGTACTACTCAACTTCGACAACATAGTATAATACGAGCTTACCTGGACGGTACTAATCCCACAGTAAGTATGCAAGTAGTTTGTTTCCCCAATTTTCGCAGCTTTATAATACAATTTATAGATTCTTGTGAGTTTCTTCTCATTCCATCCACTTACTATGGCTCTCGATGTCTCTGCACGGAAAGTCTACTGGTTAGATCCATTCGAGTTCACATTGCATCGATCTGGCTACGACGGGGAAGACAGTGAGGTAAGATGATGCTCGATTCGGAGGATGCTTCAAATAGTTCCGAGAAAAATGGATGAGGCATGAATCTTACACTGGATTTCCCGTCCTTGCCGTCGTTGTCCTACTGATATTAGTAGGACCCTGATAGGGATCAGCACGTGTGAACCACTTTTCTGCGTCTCTGATCTTGATCGGTCTTGAAGGAGAATTTTCCACCCTCTCTATGCCTTCAGGTTTTAAGGACTCTGAAGGGGACCCCCAGAAATATGTACGGCCCGAGTGCAGAGATTTCATCTATAACGTTGGCACCTAAAAATCGCGTGCGTTCGCGTGGCGGCTGTCACAGTGGCTGCTGCAAAACGGTACCCTGCACTGAATTGCCATTTCACATTCTTACCCTAAAATTCCATAGATACGTAGGTTGCCTTTTATATTTCGAGATTTGAGAACAGGAAGAAATACTATTTATTGAAGATCGCTTGACTGCCTTTCAAGATTCTCCACATTAAGATCTATACACTTTTGCATGGGCTCGAACCAATTTTTGAAGCACTTTTGCCGTTCTGATTGAGGTAACTCTAAAACATGCATTCTGAACCCTCAACGGCTTCTTCAGGTGTCGAAGAACGTTGACCTCTCATTTTATTTTTTACGTACGGGATAAGAAAAAGTCGCCCGGGGACTACACTGGCTGATGACCTGTCAAATCGTTGTTTCGAGTGCTCAAAAATGCAATTGTTTGAGCCGATGTGTGGGAGCTCGCATTGTCGTGGCGTGGGATCCAACGCCAACAAATTTTGTTACAGTCAAGTATTCATGCAATATTGAATGTATGCTGGTCCCACTAATGCATAAGGTCGTCCCAATCTCACG